TATATATATATATATATATATATATATATATATATATCAGGTTTCTTACACCTTTTCCAAATTCAATTTCAAGCACTTTCAAGCTTTCCCAGCACTTTAAACCGCTGTATTTCTGCAGTTACAAAAGCGCCACCTGCTGGCAGACAGAAGCTCACGTTTTAGCCTTTAAAATATTTTTAAGAAATAAAGAAAAGGGATGAGTCAAAAGTGTAAAGAATGATTTTGTTTTTCAGCGGCTCTGGTGGCAGAAGATGAATTTGCATTTTTTAATAAGTCCATCTGCTGTTTTTGTTCAGAACAAAAAGCTAATGTTTCTTCAAAAATCTAAAAAAAGTAAGATGTCTGTGTGCTTTAAGTTAAAATAATTCTTTACACTTTTGACTCATCCCTTTCCTTTATTTCTTAAAAATAGTTTAAAGGCTAAAACGTGAGGTTCTGTCTGCCAGCAGGTGGCGCTTTTGGAACTGCAGAAATACAGCGGATTCCCCGGTAACGGCCGTCGCTACACAAAGCAGCTGTGCTCACAAATGCTACTTTATCAGACATTATACGTCGGTCAGATGAAACGAAAATCCCATTGAAACTTCTCTGAAGGCAGTCGGTTCACTTCAGAGATGCATTCATATGAAAACACCCGTGCTGCATTTTGATAAAACCCGTGCTGCATTTTGACTTTGAAATGTTTATTTTATTATTTCACTTTAGTCGCGACAGTCTTAACTTATTTAGTTTAACTGAGGAGGGGCATTTTTGCTAACCTTTTACACGGCTTGAAAGCGCAGACTCTCCCATGAAAAAAATCAGACTTTACAGGAGACTTTACATTATTCGAACCATGAATTTGTATTTGTCGTTTTCAAGCCAACGCTGACTAAAGCAACAACCTCCCGACATGTGTTTATCGGGAGGTTATATATGTGCTTATATAATAAAGACCGGCGGATCACACTAAAGCCACACGAGCAGAATCGAGAGGAGCTGTTTTTATTTTATGCAAAAGGCATTTTGTCTAAAAAGTAAACTACGTTATTCAGTAATAAAGCAATTGGACTCTCATTCATTATTAGAAAACCAATGCAATTGCAATTTGAAGGATTTCAAGCACCTGTACGAACCCTTATATATATATATATATAGACATTTAAATAAAACATAATAAATTAATAAATAAAATAATAAATATACTTTGACTCTTAATGATCAGCATGTTTAAATATTTAATCAACTTTAAATATTTAATTATAAAAAATTATTCTAAAAGTACTGTAATAAGAAAAAAGAAGATACTTTAATCAAATATATAAAATATAACAAAATGTATATTATAAAATATAATATACTAAAATTAATAAATTATTATTAATTTTATATTTATAATAAAATAATTTAAATATGTATAATAAATAAAACAGTGGTGTTGTCCTGAATTACAGTTACCTTTTAAATTGCATCAATACTTTTTTATTAGAATTCAATATAATAAATTATTCTTAATTGTATTATTATAATAAATAAAAACATTGAGAATAAATTAAAACAGTGGTTTACAGTCTAGTACTTTTTTATTGCATCAATCATTTTATCATAATTTTATTAGAATATATTATAATAAATAATAAAATAATAAAGTATAAAATACTAAAATAATAAAAAATTATAATAAATTAAAACAGTGGTGTGTAACCCGGTATTAAGGTTAATTTTTTATAAGCATTTTATTATTTTATTAGAATTTATTATAATAAATTACTTACATTTTATTATTATAATTATGATTAATTATGATCAATTAAATTATTTAAAAAATAGAATAAATTAAAACAGTTGTGTGGAGTTCAGTATTACAGTACAGTTACATTATAATAATTTTATTAGAATTTAAAAATCAATTTGTCATCATGGTGACGATTTAAAAATCCCACTGACCTCCACATGAGCGTCTGGTGGACGGTGGGCTGCAGGTGGAAGATGTGATTACTGACGGCCAGGTTGTGCTCCAGTCTGAACGGCTCCAGAACCACACCGTCCCGAACCGGGAACGTCAGCCGGAGCTCCTCGTTAGGGTTATCTAGGAAACAACAAGGAGATTAAGCCTATTTAATGATTCGATATTCTAAACAATCATTTTGCTTCTCAAGTAAATGTATCTTAATATGTAACCCTGGACCACAAAACAAGTCATAAGGGTCAATTTTTTTAAATTGAGATTTATGCATCATCTGAAAGCTGAATAAATAATATTTCTATTGATGTGTGGTTTTGTATGAAAATCTGGAATCTGAGGGTGCAAAAAAATCTAAATATTGAGAAAATCGCCTTTAAAGTTGTTCATATGAAGTTCTTAGCAATGCATATTACTAATCAAAAATTAAGTTTTTATATATTTACGGTAGGAAATTTACAAAGTATCTTCATGGAACATGATCTTTACTTAATATCCTAATGATTTTTGGCATAAAAGAAAAATTGATAATTTTGACCCATACAATGTATTGTTGGCTATTGCTACAAATATCCCCCAGCGACTTAACACTGCTTTTGTGCTGCAGGGACACATTTAAGAATGTATAGACGTATTGGAAACAAGACAAAACCACACAGGAAAATAATTTTTAACAGTGTGGCCAAAATGACGTATGGTGATGTAGAGGCTCATACCTGGAGCAGGCGGCAGTGCATTAATGTTAGGTTTGATATCAGGAGGAAACGAGGGCTTCATGTCCTGGTTTGGCGACAGATACGGTGGCATATTACTTCCTGGGGTCACGGGGGGCGTGGGGTCACCCGGTAATGGAGAGTGAGGGTAACTGCCCATCGGCCGCGGAGGCTACAAACACAAGAAATCACAACCTGTAAACAAACACCTGAAACTGTGAATAAATCAACTGCTGACGGAACATCTAACTAACGTACCCCACTGTAATGAAAGTTTCCCGTGCTGAAGTTATTGCTGGGTTCCTGTAGCAGAGACAGAGACAGAGACACACTCAATCAGCTTGTCAGTATTATGAGATTGGATTGTTTTGGCTATATTATACTGAAATATATTTTAATAAAATTTGAACATTTTATTACGAAAATATAAAATATATTAGAATAAATTATTATTATTATTATTATTATTATTATTATTATAAAACAATAAAAATAGATGATATTTTTTACTGTAGCAATCATGTACTCATTATGTTATTATAATTATTATTAATTATATAAATATATATACACACACACACATTTGTATGATAAAGTCTAACATAAAATACATTATAATAAATTATTTTATTACTATTAATAATCAATAGTAATAAAATAAATTATTATATTAACATAATAAAATAAATGTAAATGTTTTTGTAGTCCAGTATTACGTTACTTTTTATTGTATCAATCATTTAATGACCACTTTATTATAATTTGTTATAATAAATAATGATTAATTTTATATAAATAAAGTGTAATGAAATATGTTTATATGTTCGTATCATAAAATGTAACATAATAAAATACATTATAATAATTATATTATTATTAAAAAATTATTTTAAGAAATGTAACACTTAAATGTAACACACTTACAAATCATGTACTCATTATTTTATTATAATTATTATTAATTATATAAATATATACACACACACACACACACACACACATTTGTATTATAAAGTCTAACATAAAATACATTAAGATACTAAGATTTTTCATATTGGTGATGATTTAAAAATCGTATATTTCAAGAATCTAAATTTTTACCCCCGCCTCTAATAAAACATAATTGTGACCCTGTCTGTGAAAACCCAGCTAAAGTCATTTTTTTTGTGATTTACTGTTTTCTACATTAAATCATCCTTCATAAAGACGTAGAACATTCTGTGAAAATGTAACCTTGATATCTTTAATATTGACTGAGTGAGGCCATGTCAAAGATTGAAATCCTTAGTGAAATTAATGGTTGAAATCAAACTTTGATGCTTGTTATCTCATAATTAGATTTTGGGACTTGGATTTCACAGACAGGGTCACAATTAGTAATCAAGTATTTTGTTATTAAAAGAAGGTGTCTTGGAGGGCAGCCTGATGTTGTGTAGTGCAGGACCTTGTAGCCAGTCTGGCTCTGTGCTGGCATCCTCTGAGCGGTGTAATGCGGTGACGAGACGCCTCTGCTGGCGGCAGGGTTCAGATACTGACCCTGCTGAGAGGAAAACTGCCCGCTTGGTCCGCACAGCTGCCCGTAGCTCCCCTGCAGAACAACAGACACTACACTGAAATCTCAAACTCAACTAAGAACATAAAAACAGAGTCCGCTGCATCACCACTAAAGACAAAACACCACAAACAGACAGCCACTCACTATCTTTACTATCATGTGCTTAATAACTGGAACTGTGTTTGTATTGATAATAGATGCAATAGGCATGAATGATCATCAGTGTTCTGCATCACCCAAACAACACCCAAAATAATTAGATTTTTATGATTTTATCTAACCTTGCGCAATTTAAATCATTTTTTGTAATAGGCACAGAGGCCTAATTTTGTGATATTACTGTGGTAAAATATTTTTTTTGCCATTTAATGGGCCATTTTATCTTGTTTATTTGTTTAAAAAAACTGAATATAACATGATAGAATAGTCTGTAATTTAATATAATAGAAACAGAATGCAAAAAATATGAATAAAATTATTTCATTTTCATAAAAAATTCTCAAATAATTATATTAAAGCAAAAATATAGGTTTTAACATTTTTGTGAGGTCTACACTATTTATGATATAATATGCAAATGTATGCATATTTAATAATATGCCGATATTTAGCATATTTTCTAAATTCTACGTGTATTTTAACCATTGCAAAGTGTAGAGAAAAGTCAAATTAACTGTATATTTGACCAGTGTTGGGTAAGTTACTCTAAAAAAGCAATTACTAGCTACAGATTACATCTTCAACAGAATAATTATATTACTGTACTAATTACTCTCTAAAAAGTATTGCATCATTAATTACTAATTACTTTCTAAATCCCATATTAACCTCGACTAGTTAAAGAACCAGCAATCTCACAGGTGAAATTAGTAGGAATATTGCTAGAGAGTGACGGAGTACCAATAAAAATCAATAAAAATAAAAAAGTTTTGTCCATGTTAAGTTTCAGAAAACATAAATTAAGCCAATCTTTTCAATGTAACTTAATAATGCATTATATCCAGTGCTGTATCTGACACCTAAGCTGTTTTCCTCACCTCTCCAGGATACGGTCTCTTCGCCCCCTGCACTGGCCGTGGCCCGTAGCCCTGCTGGGGTGTCCTCTGACCCCCACATGGCCCCATCTGGCCCCGTGGCTGCCCCATGTTCATGGCCCCAGGGTGAGCAGGGGGCCCCCGGGGGCCGGGCTGATTCACAAACGGAGTGCTGTAAGCCTGGTTTGGTCCCATTTGAAAGGAGGAACACATCTAGAACACAAACAAACAAAATGCTTTGTTCAAACTCATTCTTTCAATTAAAAATAACAATCCAACTAATCTGATGATTATAGACACTCCCTCACCGGGCCGTATTGGTTCATGTCCTTGTGTTGCGTCTCCTGTAGCGCGGCGACCGTCGCCGTGGCTGTAGCGGTCGCCGTAGCAGCAGCAGCAGCCACAGCGGCGGCGGCGGCAGCAGCAGCTGGTTGGCTGAAGTCAGAAGGGGGGTGTGTCTGTGCAGGCAGGCCCATCCCACCTGTGTGGTTAGGACCGCCCCCAAAACTGCACAAGAGAGAAAGAGTTGGGATTCATGAAATGTTCTACAAAACTGCTATTTACTTCTCATTTTTTAATTTAAGGATAAATTAATAAAGGTAAGAATATTGTTTTTACGCAAAACATGTTATCTTTTTTCTTTAAATTGTTCTAAAGACAAAACCTAAGGCCGTGTTTATTATGATTATTACACGATCTGCAAGGAAAGCAAATCACTTGCTCATCAATGGATGCTCTGCCAAACAGCTGATAAAAACATCACGATAATCCACAGCACTCCAGTCCATCAGTTAACATCTGGAGAAGACAAAAGCTGAAACAATCCATCATCAAGACATTTTTAACTATAATGCGAGTCCATAATCCATAATAATGCTTCCTCCAGTGAAAAAGTGCATCTGCTGTTGTCTCTCACATCAAAATCCAGCCACATATGTGTTTAGAGCTGTTTAAACGCTGCTTGATCTGTGCAGATTTCTCTCCTGATTCACACAAGAACACTTTTTCACTGGAGGAAGTGTTATTATGGATTATGGACTCGTATTTTAGTTAAAAATGTCTTAATGCTGGATGTGTTTCAGCTTTTGTCTTCTCCAGATGTTAACTGATGGACTGGAGTGCTGTGGATTATTGTGATGCTTTTATCAGCTGTTTGGACTCTCATTCTGACGGCACCCATTCACTGCAGAGCATCCATTGCTGAGACACTGATGCAATGCAACACTTCTCCAAATCTGATGAAGAAACAAACTGACCTGTTCCCGAATCCTCCTCCTCCAGGGTAACCGGATCTCCCATACATCCCCGGCTGCATGCAGGCCTGGTTTGGACTGGCCTTGGAGGAAAACTGCTGCTGTCCAGTAAACTGTCCCGGGTTCATACCTCCATTACCTCCTGTCATAGGGTTCATGTGGCTGTTTTGGTTCACCATGGGGTTTCCCAACACCTAAACACACACACACACACACACACACACGTTATGACATGCACTCAAACAGCAGCATGTGCTCTGAACGGTGTTAAATACACTCTCACCTGACTCTGTGATGTATTGGTGACACCCCATACGGTGGTCACCACGGAAACAGAACCTGGCGGCTGATTCGTGTTTTGTTGCCAGGAGACGGAATCATATTGAAATGATGCATCACTATGGAGATGAAAAAGGATGTAAACAGTTAACATGTGCAACAGTGTGTCAATATGTGTGTGTGTGAGAAACTGACCCATGTGACAGAGCCGGTTTCATATTGTTGATGTTGGCCTGCATCGGGTTCTTGCCCACAGATGGATCGGGTTGTCTGCTTTTCTGATGACGCAGCAGCAGAAGTCGACCCAGATCCTCACACCATGAGGACAGCAACGCTAAACAAACACAAACACACATTAAATGGGTCATATTTGATATATGGGTCATATCATTTGACGTTTTTCCCTGATGTCCTGGAGCTCTTTTTTATTTTCTCTCAAAAACATGTTTTGAGTTCTGAAAGTTACATGTTTTCATAGCACAATGAACCCCTCTCCAAAAAAAAAAAAGATCAAAAGATCAAGAGAAAGTTGATTCCTCGTGACAGGAGGAATTTTCCATGTTTAAAAATAAATAAATAAATACATTTATATCATTTAAAATTTTAAATGTATTAACAATGACCACTTTTTAACGTATTTATTAGTTTTTTATTTCTATAGATTTTATCAGTTATAATTTCATTTATTTTATTACATCAAGTTAAACTAAATGAAAATGAAAAATGTTGCCTTGTTGGCAACTAGCTAAAATTAAACTTTAATATTTTATTTTAGAAAGTTTTTTTAATTCAAGTAAGGAAATTTATTTTTTTTTGGTTTTAGTTGACTATAATAACCCTGCTGCAAGATCTTAAGCATTTGACCATTTTTATTGTATTTCAAACAAATTAAACAATAAATGAAACATTATTTAACATTATTATGTAAACACTATGAAGGGTGAAGAACTAATTACACACTCTCAATGAGCTGCTACTGTCAAATTTTCACCAAATTTCATTACATTACCACTAAATTTCACTATAAATCTGTAGTACAGCTTCACAAGCAGATACAACAAACAGTTATGAGTCTGAAATAACCACTAGATCTGAAATAGTTTATCAGGTTAGTGGCATAAAATCTACGAAACAGTTGCTAAGTAGCAAGTAAACAAGATATCTACGGGCACAGCAGTATATTTCACTAAGTTTTCAGAATTTTATCAGATTTGCAAGAAGAAGAAATGGTGACGTGTGTGATTTCTTAAGTGGAATTGCAAAAAAAAATCCTGTTTTCAAACACTCAATTCATCTGCCATTGGTTGGACAAACAGGTAGCCCCGCCCCCTAATGAATGCCATTGGTTGAGCCAATGTTGTTTAGATGCTAAATATTGCATAAAACACATTTTGTGGTTAGTCAGTTGCTGGCTGACCGTACAATATCAAGGGTTAAATGTTAATACTTAATATTTAATATAATTCATTGTTGTACCAGGCAAGTGATTTCCGTGTATTTATTGATTTATTAATTTGGTAAATAGCTGTATTATTAGTGGGATCATGTGTAGTCAACCTCTGCTTTGCATCAGGGTTTAAACGAATCTGTCAGGTGTTTTGTTTGCTATAACATCATGAGACTGTACTTCACTCTTTACTGATGTACTAAGAGCTCTATGATGTGTGATCTATCAGAGCTGAAACAGATACAAGCTGACAGGGACAGATCTGCAGTCTGATGAAACACACACACACACACACACACAAACACAAACACACACACTAACACAAACACAAACACACACACTAACACACACACAAACACACACACAAACACACACGCACACACACGCACACACACACGCACACGCACACACACACACACA